CTGTTAGAACCTCGAATAACTTCTAGTTAAACTCTAAGTGATTAACTTGTCTTCTAGTGAGTAATAATACATTCTCTGCATAAAGCGTCACTTGGTAGGAATTCATAATACGATATTGACTTTTTGTCTGACCAGCTTCTCCCATTTTCTAGAATCACAATATGCGCCAGACAAAGACAAAAACTTAGAATAGTTGCTCAAAAATCGAACAGCTTAGCAAATTTCTTCAAACTTGAAAACAAGACTTTGTTTTTAGAATAAGGATTTGCGGAGTTTTGTAGAGCTCAGCCAACTAAGAAACTAAAACGGCCAAATAAAAAGCAGATCGACAAAATCCCCCTTCCTCCCCTTCCGCTAATGTCTTAGTTGCACAAGTATACGGTTTGAGTTTTTTTTAGCTTCAAGAGGGTATCATACTTAATCACTCACCCTTTTCATCATTCGGCAACAGGCTGCCTCGGCGAGACAGTTCATCAAAATTAGACCCATGTATAACTTCGAACACACAGTTTGGCCGCTTAATCGTCAGTCGGAACATTTCAATAACATGCTGTCTACAAGGCCAAGGTAATGTTCTGTTGCAGTCGAACAGTTTAATGAGTTATGGTTTTTCAAGTTGACTTGAAACTTCGGAGTTGCAAAAATCTGCCTCGCAATTTTGAACACTCATTGAACCATAAGTACAAAACGAGCTTCTTTTGTAGGCAAGTGGTCAACTGTAATCTTTGTTTAGTTTGAATTATAAGAAAACATCATCTAGCAAACATTGGTTAAATGGCAAAAACAAATTGTGAATCCAATTACGAACTTGAGCTCATGAGTTAGACTCGCTGAATTTTGATAACATTGGATTAAGGCGTACTCAAAGATCCTAATTAAGATTTTAAGACAATTCCGGTTTTCGTTACCACGATAGCTTACAACAGAATCAATTAAGGTAACCGGTTGCTGTGCATGTAGCACAGAGTTTTCCCATCACCATGATTTATGTAACGTAATTCAAAATTCATGGAAACTTGAAGAAAAAATTTTTTTGCTAAATCTGTTGTTTTAACCCTAGGAGCATTCTTCGAGGTAGTCAAAAACAAGAAAAAACATATCCCCACGCCATAGTTTTTTTACGCCATAGAACAACCTTATACCATAGAACAACAACTAGAGAAAAGAAAAACTTTCCCAAAAGCAAAAACGCGCGACGAAAGCTAGCCAAAGATGACAGCTCTCTTTGATAAATCTAGCTGTGTTTTACATCCCCGTTAAATTTTCATGTTGATTCACTCGCTAAGCCATCGCCACAATGCGTTAAAATTCGTAGTCAAGGTCTCATTTCTCGAGATTTCACATTATCTCGTTTGTGTTCCGACCATTGAAAATGAGGACGAACTTTGTATACGGTGTTTCAATTTTTATTTTCCACAAAAAACCCGGTACCACAAATAATCATCGGAGTGGGTCGAGTTATACATCATATTAAAAACCTTTCAGTCGTGATTCAAACGAAATTAAAAGTTTTTAAAAATTTTTCTCGGAGTTGAGAAAATATGGTTGGAAATTTTGGCGATTTAGTCTTATTTCGAGCGAGTAACGCCATTGAGTAACGTTCATTATAAAAAAAAACTGACCTTTAGGTTCAGATACATTAAATTTTCTGAGCGGAAAACTTCATTTTAAATTTTTTTAAGCGCCTCCTTGGCAATAAAAACTTCTTAAAAGACGAAAAAACATTGTGCAGAAAAAACAGAAAATAGTTTTGAAATTTTTTTTCAGAATTTTTTCAAAATACTATTTTTGTTTGGTAATCATTTTGTAGCCAAATTGTCACGATTCTGCCTAATTGTCTAATTTTAACCGCGTTTGTGTAGTTCTCTTATCACATCATGGACAAAAAACCACAATAAAAAGAAAAAAACACTTTTGTATATTTTTTATAAATATGGTAGAAAAATTCTGGGCCACTTGCATAAAACTGACTGTCCTTGCGATTTTAAATGTATTTTTAAACACCCAAATAATTTTCTTTTGCGCCTCAAAAAATAAACAAAATCAATTCATTTATGAAAAACGCTCAGTATTTTGAACTTCAGTGAGTTTATACTTAGGTTTATAAAATGATATGTTGTAGTATTAACTAGCAACGTCATTCCTTTACACTTGCACGGGCTATTCTTGTGTAATTCAGAAAGACCACAATGAGGGTCTTTATGGTAATAATAAATATGGTGTTTTTTTTGGTAATAATGTACTCGCCGAGGTTTCTGATTTTAGGTATTTAGGAATTCAAATGGACAACAGACTCAAATTTGAAAGTCATATTAATAATATTTGTGGTAAATTAGCTAAATTTAACGGCTTGTTATTCAAGGGTAGAAACTGTTTCTCGAAAAATGTGCTGGTTAAACTTTATAACAGCTATGCAAAGCCACTCATTTCTTACGGTTTAATTGCATTTGGTGCAACATCAAAAAGCCTATTAGAAAAAACATTTGTGATGCAAAAACGTATTTTTAGAACTGTTTCTTTTTTCAAGAGAAGATTTGAGCATGCCTCATATATCCTACATTCGTTTGAGATTGACACCGTTTTTGACTTATATTCCAGACAAATATTCAAAGAAACTTTTAATCAACTTCGTGGTAAAACTCCCCTTGAAACTTTTAATTTGGAATCTCTAAATAATCGTCGGGTTACTCGGGCCTCTATGGCAAAAACTTTACCAAGCGTGAAAACTAGAACACAAATAATGAAGCGTTCATGAAAAAATGTGTCTCTTAAATGTTATAATTTTTGAAATCAAACGAGCTGATACCAGATAACCTAAACCAATTTACTGAGCATCAACTAAATGGGTATTGCAATAAATTGTTTTCATTGTTTCTTAAAGATAATGGAGATCTTCTAGATTTATTTTTTTTTGAATCATCAAGTCGGATATTATTTCGCAACTTCTGTCATGGGTTTTTTCAGGGTCATGCCTTGATAAGCTGCATAGCTTTTTTATGATCTTAGTGGGTTTGATTTGTACATGCGGTTTGTTGTTTACCTGTTTGTAATAAATTTCTCTCCTAAATAAACTGTTCAAAAGTTATAATCTTTAAATGGCGACATTTTAATCTTTAAATGACGAGAAACTAAACAAACAACACAGACAAGCTGAAAAAAATCTACAACAATTTGGTCGAATCAATTTTAAAAAAATAGTTTTTAGCTACCTGCACCCGTTATTGTTGCAAACACGAGACGAGAAGAAACTTTGTAATCATGTGTGTTTTAGACATTCTTACACTTATTCTTTACCACGCAAAGTCACGTACCACAATGACGTCAGATAGGATCAAGTGATGTATCACAAAAAAAGATATATCGAAGTAAAGTGAGAAGAGAGAGGAAGAAAAAATAAGGAGACATTAAATGTGTATCACTCTGTTACTGAGCAAGCAACTGAAAAAGATTTGTCTTGAATCTCGAGACTATGTTTCGACCGACTCGACTTTATGTTTCGACTTTGAGTTCGACTATAGAGCCTTCTCGACTTTGGATATTCTGTCAAACTCTGATATATGCTCGAACCACCTTGGTCGAAAGAATAAATCGCAAACCTCGACCCGGGCATTTCATTTCAGCAACGAGAAAAAAGTGTACTGCTCAAAGAATAGCAATAAAAAGGCTTATTTTTGAAGTATTCGTTTCATTGTTTTTCTCTATTTCATTTGCCACAGTATCACTACTAGTGGAAGTCAAAGCAGCTTTAGCTTTGAATATCTACATACCGCAACAAAACGGAGAATGACCCGCTTTTTTACTGAAATGTGGGTATTTTCCCGTTATATTAAACCATCTAGAAATGCAAAAAAAACTGGAGATTCTTTTAGATTTCAATTAATATTGTAACTGTACCATATGCGATACCATAAAATCACACCGTTTCAAGCTAACGAAAAAAAATTCAGAAACAACAAATACAAAAATTAGCCGGCACCATATAAGCCAAAAGTTGCGCAAGAATAAAACAGATTAAATTGTATTGAAAATCAATTCTATCTGATTTGAGCGTTTTGAACTTAAATTGTCAAAAACAATAAGCTTGATCAAAACTTTAACACAGAGGTGAAGCTTCGTTTCGCAAATACTAACGAGAACACGACAAAAAGCAGCTTTATAAAGTGCATTAAGAAAAACTATGAATAAGCTATAAATTCGGCTGCGTCTGAGATTCGAACCTGCGACCATGAGATTAAGAGACACACACTAACCACTCAGTCACCCCAGCTTATTTGTATATAGAAGATAGAAGATTAAACACTTACCACCAATATAGCAGAGAACAGATGCTATACAATTTACAATATACAATGCTACAGTGAAATTTCCAAATAAGTCAACACTTTTATTTGCGAGTTACCTAAGAAAAAAAAGCTCGTAAAACACACATAGCTGATGCTAGTGTAAACATTTATGACTAAAAACAACCAAAATAAGTGAAAATTCTTGGTGCGGCAATTAAACTGATAAAAATACATGCAGAGAAACAATAGTCCAACGTTTCTTAAAAGCGGAAAACTTTCAGTAAATAAAAACAAACAGCTCCTGCCTAGATTCGATCCCTGGGTTTTCGGATTGCCATGTAAGGAAATTACCAGGGGTAAACGTGCATCAGACTCAACAATTCGAACTGATAATGAATCAAACTACCAAATTATTCCGTGATTCTGTTGGACAAGTTATTTAGCTGGAAAAAGAGGAAATGATCTATTTAATAACGCTCGTTGTCGCCAGCGTAACTTAAATAATTGTCAACAGACAGTTGGAAAAGTGTCAATCAATGCAAAAAAAAAACAGAAAAATGTTTTAAAGCTCGAGGAAAAAACTAATTACCGTCCCTAAAACTTCCAATTTAAACAGCAATTTCAAGTATTTCTTTATTCAGCTGGAAAATCCTTTTCTAAAATCTACTTTCAAAACTTATTTGAGCGTAAACAAATTTCAAGGCTTTTTTAAAAAAAAACATACCAACATAGTAAATTAAATTATTCTGGGAGTTTCAAATATAGGAGAGATGCTATACAAACAGTTGATCAATACAAATTCAGTTTCACTTGAGTCCAATTTTGAGTTCCAGAGGTACATTCAGTTTCCTTGCTCGTACGATTTCTACTCAAACTCAGAATACGCAAAGACACTTCTGTGCTTTCGCTGTCTTAGATGACTAAAGATGGCCGCAGCTAGCACTCCGAAAATAAGGAAGAGAATTCCTAGACTGACCATAACTGCTTTGTGCGCATAAGTTGACCTCTTTAGAGGTGGCTCTCCTCCATTGTCCTCGAACTGAGCTGACGTGAGCATCAAGTAACTCTGTGATGATATAGCTTGCTCAAACTGAAACAGTAAAAGCAAAGTAGAACAAGGATAGTCGGTTGTTGTGCACGCAGCACAGAAAGTTCCCACCATAAAAAAAAACATATTTTTTGTTGAAAATTGTTATTTTTCGTTCGTTGGGAATATAGGCATTCGATACTTACGAGAACCGGACCAAAAAGCAGCTCTATCAAGTTAATAAGAAAAAAAAGCCGAGAACTAGCAAACACTCGGCTACGTGTAGGATTCAAATCTGTAACCTAGTGCCATCAAGAGATTTTAAGTCTCACGCACTATCCCCTCAGCCACTCGGGCTTAGCAACCGACAAACACTACTCAAGAATAAAGCAGCTACATATGCTAACAAATTGCTAAAACGATTCAGCACCAAATACAAATAGACTTAATTTTGCAATTAAGAATTTGGAATATAACAAGCTGAAGGCATCCACACTAACTTTGCACGTAACAAATCGCAAAGCATAAATCACATTATGTATAAATTATGCATTTCAAAAAATTGCAAGATATATTGAGTAAGAAAATCTCTATAACCGCATTTTTATGATTGTCATGTTGTTTGAAACAAATAGCTTTTTTCGGATCATTTGATGAATCAAAAATGGATCAACTGCGTTCATTTATTACTTTTCGAATATCAAAGCACATGCTATCAAAAAGCTGTAAAGGCGCCCCAACATTATTGTAGTGCCACGCCATAAAAGTGCTGCACCAATATTCGCGACTTAGGGTGGAAAAAAGAAGGTTCGTACTAAAACAATAGCTTCGCAAGTTTAACACAGAGGCGAAGTTGCACTTCGCATACACAAGCAAAGATATGACCGACAACGCTAGTGGAAAAAACAGAATGAGTAAAACATTGAGTCTACAAAATTTCGTAAATGACGCACGCCAATGATGAGTCTAGATAACTGCTTGGTGACGCACGCCAATTATGACGCTTAGCAGTACCAGTCAATTTGAAAAGAAATTTACCAACTAGTATGCCTCAATTTATAAAGCGGATGCATTCTAACTAGTACACGAAAAAGTTCATTAAAAAATCCGACCTTGCCCAGGTTCAAACCCTTTCATTTTTCTACTGGTGTCCTTCCCTACCTCTACGCTACAAAACCACGATACCTTGAAGCTTAAGTGCTATTTGTAATATAATACTCTGTTTAATATCCATAGCATCGGCTGTACTTAATAGATGGATCAAAATATGAACTTTGAAAATGAACACATTTTGTCGCAACAATTAGATCGCAATAATATTTGCGACTTACGTTGGAAAAAAAGAAAGTTCGTACTAATGCACTAGCTTCGCAAGTAGAAATCAAAAAGTTAATCGAAAACCGAAAAAAAAATTAATTGTTTTTAATTTTTTTGAAATAAGAAAAAAAACTAGGAAAAGATAGAAATAAGCCTCGCATTAGTTAAGCTTTTGGCTTCGAACCTGCAACCTCGCGAAATGGACTCTCACGCCCTGACCTCTCGGCCACGAACGCTTAACAACAGACAAACACTAGTCGCAAATGAGGCAGCTACATATGACACAAGTTTGCAAGTTATAGTTTCAAATAAAACACACCGAAGGCATCCACGCTAACTTTGCATATAACAAATTGGAAATCATTAAGCCACATTATGTATAAATTAAGCATATCAAAAAAATGCAAGATAAATTGAATTGAAAAATTTCTGAAATCGAGTTTTTATGATGGTTAAGTTGCTTGAAATAAATAGCTTTTATGGGTCCATTGGATATATTTACATGGGCGAAGTTGCACTTCCCATACACAAGCAAAAATATTACCAATAACGCTACTAGGAAAACCTGACTGAGTCAAACTTTGTGGCTACATAATTTCTTCATTGAAGCAAGCCAATTATGACGCATAAACAGTCAATTTGAAAAAAAAAAGAAACTTACTAACTAACATGCCTCAATTTATAGAGCGGAAGCATTTAACAAGTATACAAAAAAGTTCAATAAAACATCCAACCCTGCCCAAGTTCGAACCCTCGTATTTTATTGCATACAATCATGGATCTGTACCTCTATGCTACAGATCCATGATACCTTGAAGCTAAAGTGCTATTTGTAAAATAATAGTCTGTGTTAATATCCTGTACTTAATAGCTGTTTATTGCAATAAAAACACTTCCAAAATGAACACTAATATTTGCGACTTAGGTTTGAAAAGAAGAGTTCATACTATCACACAAGCTTTGGTTGTGTAAAAATGCATCAACTGTGTTAAGTTATTACTATTCGAATGTCAAAGCAAATGATAACAAAAAACCGTTAAGGTGCCCCCAAAGTGGCACCAATATTTGCGACTTAGGTTACAAAAAAGAGTAGTCGTACTATAACACTAACGCTCACTAAAGTTCGCTAGTGTAAATATGGTTTGAATCACGACTGCAAGGGCTTTAATATGATATACCACTTTAACCCTTCCGACGATTATATGTAGTACCTGATTTTGCGTGGGAAACAAAAAAAAGAAAACACACCCGAGTACAAAGTTCCTCCCCACTTTCAGTGTTCGGAAGAAAAAGTTAAATTTACTACATTCGGATAAAAACGATCTAATATACCTGTTCATGTTCAGTGTCCGTGAAAGTGACATTCCACGTTGATTTTGTAAGTCCATACCCACGATCGGTCAGCATCAGAAAAGCAAACATTGACTTTACACAGACCATTTCATCTTCTATGTTGACCTGAAAAAATTGAACGCTTGAAAACCTGGGGGTAATTAGTTACAACTAATGAAAATAATTAATTTTCGGCATTTGAAGATTTCTATTTCAAATATCTATTTTTTTCATTAACAGATGTCTTTATTCATGTCTGAATTGTTTTCAGGGAAACTCAACACAATTTACTCGCTAATCATAGATATTGTAAAATGTAGCCAAATTTTGAACGAAGCAAATAATTTAGAAGTAGAACTTTAAAAACGGTCTCTAACTAGTGGCTGAAAATTAGTTCACCTGTTTAGATTCATTACGATTGCACGATGAATTCACTGCCAATTCGAAGTTTTCAAAACTAGGACTCGAACTCCTAAGGTTCAACTGGTTGGCAACATTGTAGTACAGGCCACCTGCTACGAAGTGGTTCGTGCGATTTAAATTGGGTTGACAAGCAACGCCGCCGAATCCCAGAGAGGTTTTGCATTGGGACATCGATAGGCTAGTTTGATTTGAAGTGAGCGATTTCTGCTCAAAAGTTTCTGTGTTTTCAAATTTATACTCTTCTGTTTCTATTGAACTCTTGCAGGAGATAACTGAACCAGTACCTACAAATTTAGAACACAAAAATTAAACCAAACAGTGATATAAAATCTTAAATGCAATAGAAAACAAGCAAAAAATACTCAAATGGATACAAAAGAAGCATTATCATCCGAGCTGTCTTATGTTGATTGCAACACTTGAAAAATTTCAAAGATTCATTGAATTGAAGCCGAATAAAGAACTTTTTCCGAAATTGCGAAACTTTTAGATTTTAACAGTTGAAAGGGTACAATTTAACATATTATCTTCCACTACCAAATAAAGAAAATCGCTGAATATACCGAGAGCTCTCGTTGAAACGCCTACCAATGATTGTGAAGTTTTCACTACTTGAAGATTCAGTATCAGCAGAAACGACGAAATCAGGAATACAAACTGATACGGATTGAAATTCTTGAACGCTGATTGTGATTCGTGCACCCTCAGGATAGCAGCCTGATTCAACTTCTGAAGAGTAATTTGACGTCTAAAACAGATGAACTAGCCTGTCGCATTCTGATAATTAAGAGGAATCCTTAACATTTGTAGGAATATTATACCACCAAAAAACTCATCATAAATTGCACCATTAGGAAAATATAAAACATATTGGAAAGAAATCAATCAAGTCAAGGTCATTGAAAAAATGATCAACTTTTCTGAATTTCGGAGAAAAAATATATCACGCTAGAGCTCTTTAACATTAGGCTCAAAGGGTAAATTTTAAATTCCGCTGATATTTTTTTTTGAAAAATTCGTTTTTTCGGCGCCATTTTAATTTTCCTGTAATGTTTAGCAAAAAAATTTAAATCGAACTTCAGTAGTCAAACGCAGAAAATCAAAGCTGAGCGTGAACAACTTGACAGACTTTTTCCAGGAGAAAAAAAAACCCTACGTTCACTGAAACAATAAAATGGACCCAATTTGAGATATAAAGATCAAATGGTATTTTTTCTATTTCGCTGGGAAATCTTATACTTAAAATTCATTTTTGAAAATTGAAGTCAATCACTCCATCTGCACCTTCGTAATTGAAGAGCCGTGTTTGCCTTCCATTCACCAAATGTATTGGAACTGAACTTAAAAAGAGAGAAGACTTAAAAAGTCAAACCTCGAGAAATCAAATTCAAGCATGAACAATTGTCAAACCTTTTTCCTGAAAAAAAGACCACACGACCTAAATTAGTCAACGACAACTTTTATTCTGGTCTCTTTTTCATGGATAAACTGCTGTTACTCTGAATCATAACGAATCTTACCTTCCATAGAGAATAATGATAACGAGATATTGAGACATCTAGGCCATAACAACCAGCAACACTGCCGTATAAACTGACACTTTTTCCATTTAAGAAAACAGTCATCAAATCGCTTTTGCTAGCATACAGAGTTGAATTATACGGAAACGCGATCAGTGAACTGTAATTCGTCATGGTAATAACTCCGTATGTTAATTTTGACAGGGAGAAATTAACAGGGTTCACTGCAGGATAAAATTGGTTGATCCATTCCACCTCAGAGAAATGGGACCGTGTTTCAAACTCGTAGCTGAATATTTTCAATTTTTTAGCCTCCAATTCGACTACCAAAGCCTTCATCAGATCGTTGTATGTTTCGGGCCTGTAAATAACAATTATAGCAAATGGATAACTATCACTTTCAGGAATTTTACGATCAAAGGTCAGGTTTTAATTTTGTGATCATTCGTATTCCGACCAATTAGTGGGAAGGAATTCGTATTCGTGTGTTTTTACGAGCACAAACAGGCGCCGTAAGACGTTGAGTTATATATCTGCTAAAACCCATTTCAGTCATGATAAAGGCTCCAATTAAATCCAACAAATTTATTCACCGAGAAAATACGGTTTAAATATTTTTTTCTTTTCAGAAATGTGGCAAGTTTCAGGCTATACAAAAAATTTGGAAAATTACCATAGAAATGAGAAGTCATAATGCATTCGAACGATTATGTCGTTTTTGAAGAGCCAAACGTCATCCGATTCATTTTGAAAGAAGAAAGGCATCACACACTCAGTCACAAAGTCAGATATGATGTTTTCATGATGTCTATGGTCACTCAGGTATAAAGACAGGGATACTAAAACACATGCTCATTTAAAACAATGAGCTTTTGTTTCCACTCAGCATTTAAATTAAGTTTAGCGAAGTGTTTGAAATTGTATTCAACAAAGCGATATGCAAATATACAGCTACTCCTTATCATGGTAGTTACTCGGAGATGCTTGTCATTCATTTAAACATAGCCAAATGACAGTTGGAAAAGAGTAATGAACGCAAGGAAACAAAAAAACACTATCTGGAAAAAATCTCAACTTTCGAAATTAAAGAAAAAATAGATGCCCTTTAAGCTCTTTGAATTTCTAGAACAATTTATGATTGGCGCTTTTTTGATAACATGAACCCAACTTGAGAAAACTGGATCAATAGGTAAAGTTTTTATTCCGCTGGGAAATCTTAAAAATAAATTCTACTCTCGAAAGTAGAAATCGTTCACGTTGTTTCGCCCCATTTCCACGATCGTATTTGGAGAGTGCTATTTACGTCACTTTCAGCAGATTAATTTCAATTGAACTCAAAAAATGCATTATACCTAAGTGCATCAACATTTTAAGACTTTTTCTTGAAAAAAAGAAAAAAAAATCAGAAAGACCTATATTAGAGTCTTCACTAAGTGCATTAATCTTAAAAATTACATGGACTCAAAGCTGTTTGAAAGTCAAGAAATTTTTTAAATAATTTGTACTTTGTTTTACTTCCGAGCTTCAGAGAAAAAACAACACTGCCTTAACCCAACTCAATTTGGAAACACTGGGTCAATAGACTACTTTTAATCCATCGGGAAAATCTCAAAATTAAAATCAGCTTCCGAAGCTATAAGTCAATCACGTTTTTCTGTTCGATTAACAAAAGAAAAGAACTGAAACTTGAAAGAAAACAAATCACAAGTAAAACCGCTTAAAATCAAAATTGAGCGTCTTCAAACCAAACCTATTATAGAGGCACTTAGCATTAGCATAGTGGTAAGGCCTTGACTTTTAAATCGTCAGATCGTGTATTTGATCCCATGCCATGGCAATGATAGTGTGTGAGCATGAGCTCTCACTTAACCTCTAGCTTCAGGTCTACCACAGCCTGACCAAATTTGACTGCAGTAGTGAGTAGTGATACCACGCGAAAGTTCTAGACGCAAAAAGACGGCCTTGAGTCGCAAAAAAAAGAGCTGCGCTCAACAAAGTAACACGGTCTGGAATGTTGGGAGATAATACAAATGGACCATCCTCGACAGGACTGTTAAGGCCTACTGAAACATCCTCTGCGATTCGCAGGAACCACATTATTTTATTATATTGTATTATATAAGAGTCTTCACTATGTTCATTACTCTTAATAAGCCAATTTAGATTAGCCGCGCGCTTATTTTAGCCAATTCAACCAACTTTCTAGCATCGGACAGCTTGTTGAAAGCTAAAAAAACTGGAAGTAATACAATTACTGAATGAAAAAAATTTTTTAAAATGGATGACACACAACGATCAGAATTACATGCTCAAGTCAGATTCTTTGAAAATAACATACTGTTCCTATTGTCGACCTTCATAAACTCTGGATGCACGGTCGAATAAGCGTACTTTTTCCTCGTCCAGTTGAAGGCAGATATTTGGGTTTTGTTAACCATAACTGACACTACAACTACTTCGTCAGTTATGAAATTTTCTGGTCCATTTTTAAGGGCAGCCACCATTATGAAAATGATGCCCAGAAAGACCAAAAATATTCCCAGAATGAGATAGTACATAGGCGGAATGCTCTTGAAGAACGCAGGCTGGAGAATGTTCAAGGAGAAAATTCTCTTCCCAGAGTATCTCTCTCCCGCAATCGTACTTTCTAAAATACAGGAGATTCAATTTTATATGATTAAAACTAGACCACGTATAAAACCTTGAAACGCTTGGGATACAAAACAAGAAACTCATCAAAACATCTCGATGATTTAAGACGAACAATTGCCAAATCTTTAAATTCGATCTGAAAATATGAATAAGTGATCTTCTGATCGCGGATCAGATCCTGTTTTTTCTTCATTAATTTAATTAAATCCTTAGTTTAAAAAAATATAGAAACATAGCGAACAGAAAATTGGAAAAAAAACAAGTAGCAAAACGAACTTGAGCCTTGTACAAAATAGATGAGACTAAGTAGCTTTCCTCAATTCATGATTGATCGAACCCATCGCTATTCAGATTTTTTTTTCAAACCTACTGAACTTTGCAAACAGAAACGATCGCGGGTTAAATATCTTTTTAGATTTAGCCCAATGCGTCGATAAAAAACGTCGAAAACTTTTTCTTTAGTACTCTTTGTACTCAAATGAACGAATTACGTTGAAAAATGGGCTGACTGTATAACCCAAAGCTCGCGTGTAATAAGAGGAAAAAAGAGTAAGAAAAACTAATCAGTGCACTATTTTAATTCAAGCTGCTGTTTTTTCTCGTTGGAAGAAACTTACTGAAATCAAATTGCAGTTGGAATGGCGAATGAAAGTATCCTAAAGTTTAATCTTCATTATTTTAGTTAAATCCTTAGTTTAAAAGAATATAGAAACATAGCGAACAGAAAGTTGGAAAAAACAAGTAGCGAAAAAGAACTTGAGCCTTGTACGGAATTGATGAGACTAAGTAACTTTCTTCAATTCATGATTGATCGAACCCATCACTATTCAATTGTTTTTCAAAACTACTGAACTTTGCAAACAGAAACGATCGCGGGTTAAATATCTTTTTAGATTTAGCCCAATGCGTCAATAAAAAACATCGAAAACTTTTACTTTAGTACTCTTTGTACTCGAATGAACGAATTACGTTGAAAAATGGGCTGACCGTATAACCCAAAGCTCGCGTGTAATAAGAGGAAAAAAGAGTGAGAAAAACTAATCAGTGCACTATTTTAATTCAAGCTGCTGTTTTTTCTCGTCGGAAGAAACTTACTGAAATCAAATTGCAGTTGGAATGGCGAATGAAATATCCTAAATTTGATATAAAACTGAACCCTGCCACAGATTTATCTAAAGTACCTGATGTTGTGAGGAAATCTTAAATTTTCTCCCACTTTCGATGGTATGAAAAAAATATCTAGTACTCACGGGCATCCAGGATGTATATAGTGCAATTAGAAGGCAGCGCCAGCTGGGCTATCTCCGCATCGGGCTCGAGTATCTGCAGTTCTGTCATCCGCATACTAGCTCCTGTGCCACTAGACCCGGGAGACTGTGAAAGAGCCTCATTGGATGAAGACACAGAAGGCGTGAGGGATGAAGTTGTAGATAATTGCACTTCCAACACATAGTCATCATCAGACAATACCTGTCGAAGAAATTGGAAAACATTTTCTAAAATAATTTTGAGATTGATATCCTTTATAACCTTTGTATTTCGCAGGCCTTAAAGTAGACAAGGACTTTTGAAATGACTGTACAAACATTTTCATTAAGCATATATACTGAGGCTGATATACCATAATTTCTGAAATATAATACAAACCGAAAGTTTCTCAATGTCAGTAAAAACTGGTGCGTGTCTATTCAGGGTCAAAATTTAGCGATAAATTTTAATCAAAGAAATCTTAACTTTTATATTTAGTCCAAAAAAAAACATAAATTTTCCAGGAACTAAGAATTGAAAAAAAAGGGTTCTAACAATGATAGATTTACTTCACTTTGAAAAAAGATAGTGATGCAGCATAACCAGCAAAATGTGGGCAGACTTAAAGTTTTTGAAATAAAGAAAATGTAACTTTTTGAAACCAAAAAACTTTCATTTGGCAAAAAAACAGTCCTGGAAGACTCTAATCATTGGCCCCATGTCGTCCATAATACACCCCATGAAACTAATGCATTAAAAAAGAGGTTTGAATTTGTTTTGACTATAAAGCAACTTAACTGGTCCACTGAATCTGTTACCACAAACAATTTTGCTTAGTTCTTACCACTGGACAGTGGTATGATTCTCGCTTTGGGTGCGAGAGGCCCCGAGTTCAATCCCCGGCTGTCCCCATCCTTTTCTAAAAACATCTTTATTGTCCCATCAAAGATGGCTTAAAGACATCTATAATTTTTTATAGATCTCTCGGTGCTATTTTTATACTGTTTTTTGTTTTTCATTTTGAATTTTTTTCTTTGTACAGTTTGAATTGTACGTTTATTGTTTTTCCTTTTTTAGACTGATGATGATTGTAATCAATCGAAAACGTTCTCTTAACTAACATTGATTGTTTTTCCTGAGCAAGTTTCATACATCAATGGACAAAAGTGACGGTGACTTTGGTCGAAGCATATATTTTATTGGTGCGAGTTCGCTCTCGAGAGCGATATATTCAGAAAATTATTGCAAGAGAAAGAGGCTGCTGAGTCGTGCGACCCCTATCCCTGGCCTGAGTTTCAACAACCGAACAAGGAACCAGTTGAAAGTATTGAAGAAACTGCTGGTGAAAGGAAAGTTGAAGGAAGTGTCTAATATCGTTATCTGGCACGACGTAATTAACAACTCGATTTCTAAACACCGCAGCAATAACAACACTGCACTTGACGTAAGCAAATTGCTTCAGATCCTCTTGCAGTTCAAGAACAGGATCAAGTGTATCATATACACGAGGCGGTGTGGAACGCCAGACATCTTCGAAGCGCTGGTGACAACTGGTATTTTAGTATTGCACACAGAACGACACTTGTCATCTAAAAGGAATCTGAGGAAGCCTGACTACAAAGAGGAACTGAGAGAATTTCACCCAAAACAGCATATTGAATTGACATTTGAATCCCTTAGTCCAAACTAGAACAACTGGTGAAAAAGTCGAGGTCGAAGAAACGAAAACTAACTAAGAAACGTCGAAACAAGAAGAAAGCAGGAACTCAGTAGAGTTAAGGCGGTTTTTTTTTCGTGCCTTAATTGACTCCAGAGGGGCTCGGCTCCTCGGAGGCGCCCAAGCTCGTTTGCGCCCGTCGTGTTCTCTGTCCCGTGATTGTCTGGTTCTTTATCTGTGTTTTTGCTTCTCTGATCATGGTCCATTTACTTGTCCCTCTACCATACTTGGCGAGAATTTGGAAGAAAAACGACACTTGGAGATATTTTGTGCGATATCAACGTAGCTTGCGTAAGCACATACATAACAAGTACCGTGTTTATTTCCTTCACTCTTGTCTGAGAAACGATTTGACCCCACGATTTCTCTAGTTCCGCATTCCCAGCAACGGTTGTTTTGATCCTACCATCGTTCATAACTTCCACAGGAATCTATTGAAGAAAGAGATAAGCACTGCCAGTGCTCGAGTCCTAGAAGTCAAAGAGGAGATTGGTAACGCACGCAAAGAGTTTCTCAAACACACCTCTGAGGCCACTCTCCCTTCCAAAGTGTTCCATACTAGAAAATACATGCGCGAACTAGTGTCTGAATTAAATGATCGGCATCGCGGAAAGCTTGAGAACCTCTCCAGCGTACAAGAAAAACCCCTCTACATTATAAAGAATACTGTCAGGATTGTGGGAACCATTAAAGTGCCAGATTTAGTGCTTGACTACTTATCGTTGAGTCCGAAACACCCAGTGGGCGACAAGTCTATCGACTTACACTTCCTAGCAGATGTGGATCGTCTCCTGTACAACTTGAAAACTAATGATATCGAGAACGACAAGTTGAATGAAGTGAACACACTCACGGTGTGGTACCTTATAGAAATGAAGAAACAAAAAGATGAACCTAACCTTGGAAAAATAAATAGCTATCTTCGGAAAGAGAACATCAAAGGCGTACCCGTTCGACAAAGGAGCTGGTTTATGCCTGATGTCCGACGTTGACTACTTTTCTATGTTGGATGACATTTTAAACTGCCCTCAATTTGAGATCTTGCCCACCTCACGGAAAGAGATTACTTTGAAAGTGGAAGACCAGTTCAACAGAACACTGAAACAACTTGCCGACAGTGAGAAGATTCCAATGTGGCTCTATCAACACCTTCATTCAACGGGTGCCCAACCGGCCAGGTTATATGGATTGGTAAAAGTACCTAAAGAAGCAAACCCCTTAGACCGGTGCTCTCTTTACCTGGTAGCTGCTATGATAAGATGGCTTGCTATTTTGTTCAGTCGGGTCCCTGGTGCCAATATTGGAACATCCACCATTGACATGAAAAAGAGACTCAAGGACGTTATTTTGTTCAGTCGGGTCCCTGGTGCCAATATTGAAACATCCACCACTGACATGAAAAAGAGACTCACGGACGTACAATTGCTGGACGATGAAGAGATTTTTTCCTTAGACGTGAGAAGTCTCTACACTAACGTACCAGTTGCGGAGGCCATTGACACAGCTTGCCACGTGCTTTACAACTCTGACTCGGCCCCGGAAATCGACAGAGCTACATGCAAGCAACTCATGCAACTGGCAGTTACTGATGTCAACTTCATGTGTGGCGATAAATGGTACGTTCAAAAGGATGGGAGCTGTAATGGCGGTTATTCTGGCCAAAGTGTGGATAGAGCGGTTTGAATATGTCATTGCCTCAGATGAACCACACTCCATCAATACAGAGCAAGAAAGATCTGCGACTGATGATAAGACAATGTGTCCCGTCTGCGCCGTGAAGGGTACTTGGAAAGGATACTCTATACGGTGCAAGAAATGCAAGTTCTGGTTTCATCGTAAAGGCAATGACACCTCACTCAATGCATTTAAGAACATGCATGGTGACCAGTGGATTTGCACTCAGTGCCAAGAAGAGGAGAAGGTTCCGGCCATTAGGGAAAAAGCTTAAATCTTCGGACGCTATGAAGACGATATCTTGAGATCTGCGCAGAGTGACTCTATCGACAGCATCTTGGACAGGGTCAACACGCTTCATCACAACTTGGAATTTACTATCGAAAGGTTGCGAGACAACGGTATTATTTTTCTAAACATGTTAGTAAAATGCCAGGATGCATGTGTGAGTACGAGTTGTTATCAGAAGACCACAGATACTGGACTGATCCTTTCCTTCAGAGCCCTTACATAGACTGGTTACAAACGCAACATGATTCAGGGCTGCATTCACCGCATCTATATTGCCACATCGACATGGAACAATTTCCATACTGAGATTCAAAAGGCAAAGAAGATATGGGAAGCAAACCAGTATCCACCCCAACTCTACGAACCCATCTTCAGAGAAACTATTGATAAACTGCTGGGGCCGAAAATCAACATCACGGACAGGCAGAAGAAAGACAAAGGCCAGTCAACAATGTTCACTTTGCAATACAGAGGCACTGTGAGTGACACGTTTAGAAGACATTTGAACAATATCACTCATGTCCCTGTTATTTTCACTACCCGGAAACTGAAAACTGCTGTCCCGTCTCGAAAATCCAAGATCCCGAATCATCTCTGTAGTAATTTGGTGTAGCATATCACTTGTCCTGGCTGTAGTGCCAGCTATGTTGGGCAGACAACCCGACACCTCACCACACGCCTTAACGAGCATTCGCGGATCTCTACTCCAGTGGGTGAACACATGGCACAATGCGTTAGCAACTCAGAAAACTTGATGGCAAAGATCATAGATCGATCTAACGACCCTGTCAAAATTTTAACGCTTGAGGCCCTCCACATCAACCGACTCAAACCAAGGATCAACAGAAAAGAAGAATACAGGTCGCGCGAACTCAAAGTCAAGGTTTAGAAAAACATCATTATTGTCCCATCATAGATAGCTTAAAGATATCTATATATTTTTTAGATCTCTCGGTGCTATTTTTATACTGTTTTTTGTTTTTCATTTTTGATTTCATTTCTGTTTGTAAACTTTGGATTGTGCAATTATTAATTTTCCTTTTTTCGACTGATGATGATTGTAATCAATCGAAAACGTTCGCTTAACTAACATTGATTGTTTTTCCCTGAACAATTTTGCTTATAGCAAGCGTAATATAAATATACTACTTCAATTCACTCACCTCTCTACCAAGCTTTAGACAAAACTCGTCTACTATGACTCTGAGGTAGATGAACGGCTTATCATCCTTTCCTTCATTGCTCTTCAGCTCCAGCTGACCTCTGTAGCCAGGGACACAGCTGTTCACAGTGAAAGTGATAGGATTTTTCGTCATTTGTCCTCCATGTATATGTATATCACTACATACTTGACATTTGATTCTAATACAACATAACTGAAAATCTAAAACTACTTTCCAGTCGATCATAACAGCGAGCTTTTTCGCCAACAAAAAATTAGAAACATCATTAACTTAATTTAAAAACACATTGGCAACCAGAAACTCGGAAACAGCTACTTGATCCATTTAAAAACTTCCTAAACAATTCTGAGTTTTAA